GCGAAAGAGACAGTTGGTCGGGGGAAGTACATTGTTCATGCACCGACATGATTTTCACAATTTTGATCGGGGCTTGAAGGAACCAACCTCCTTGCGAAAGGATGCGTAGAGCATCAGTACTCGCGCGCCCCCCCAGGGCGCCGTGGTCGCTGCTTTCGCCTCCCTCAGAAAACATGCCAAGCGTGACTTTTAAGAGCTGGTGCGGCGCACACACTCGCAAATATGTGCAATCAGCATAGGATGTCCTATAGGGTTTTTCTTCTATTTGCCGACCACGTCGGCGCATGACTTTCCGTGTCCTCAGATTGGGCAATTCCATGCACCGATGCAGTTTGTGGGCTTTCTGAGGACAGGGCGCTGGGGCTATCCGGGTCTGGCGAGGCTGCCTGGCTCCCCGTGCACAGCATGCGTGCGGGTTACGTGGGCGTGCCCCGATCGCGGTGGCAGGGCGCCAGGAATGCTGGTGGTCTTTGATGTTATTTCTCATGGCCTCCCTTTGTATGTTGTTTCGGGTTCTGACGGATTTGCCTGGCGTGGTGGAACTCCTTGAGACCATGTCGGTGGATGGATTTTTCCGCCTCTTGTAGAGGCCTCCGGCCTGTGCTGCCGATCGTACGAACTCGTCATGCTTAATGGTTTGTGAGCTTTACCTCGAGGAGGCAGGGGGGAGGAAGAGGGAGTAGGCAGAGGAGGAGGAGGAGGAGGAGGAGGAGGAGGAGGAGGAGGGAGGAGGGGGAGGGGGAGGGGGAGGGGGAGGGGGAGGAGGGAGGAGGAGGAGGAGGAGGAGGAGGAGGAGGAGGAGGAGGAGGAGGAGGAGGAGGGGGAGGGGGGGGGGAGGGGGAGGAGGAGGAGGAGGAGGAGGAGGAGGAGGAGGAGGAAAAGGAGGACGTTGGTGGTGGTCAGTTTCCTTAGGCAGTACGTGCCGGATCGAATGTTTGCCTGTGTCCGTCTGTCGAGCTTGTTGGCGGGCTAGTTCCCGGACGGGTTGGCTCGTTGGTGGGTGGTTGGGCTGGTCGTAGCGTGAATCTTTCATAGTGTATTACTCTTTCCCTTCAGTTCGATCTTCTCCTATCGAACTAGCCTACGGCGAATCACCGCCGCCCCCTGCCTTTTTGGAAGCGCCTATGTGGGCGAACGTTGAAACCAGACCTGCCAAGCTATCGGACCATGTGTTCCCCGAATCGGTTTGGAAAGCCTTCGGGGAACACGTGGGCATCTTGAAGGTCATCTTGGCTGTCTTGAGGCCATTTTGACCCTTTCGGGCCTTCTCGGAGGACGTCTTGGAGGGCTCTTGGGCCGTCTGGGAGGCCATCTTGAGCGTCTTGGAGGCCTCTTGGGCCGTCTTGGGGGCCTCTTGGGGCCGTCTTGGGCCTATTTGGCGATCTTTCGGGTCACTTGGGCCGTCTCGGGCCGTCGGAAGGCCGAACAAAGAGCAACTGCCAAAATCCTTCAACAAATCATAGGGAATGAATGATTTTGGCCTTTTCGGGCCTTCCTGGAGGCCTCTTGGGCCGTCTTGGGCCATCTTAGGGCCATCTTCGGCCGTCTTGGTGGGCTCCTGGCCCGTCCGACGCCGTCGGAAGCCGTTTGGGGGGCCTCTCTGGGCCGACTCGGGGCCCTCTTGGAATGCTCCAGGTCCGTCTTGGAGGCCATCTTGGGCCATCTTGGCCGTCTTGGAGGCCATCTTGGGCGTCTTGGAGGCCTCTTGGGCCGTCTTCGGGCCCTCTTGTGGCGGTCTTGGGGGCTTCATGGGCCGTCATGGGGCCATCTTGGAGGCCTCTTGGGCGATCTTGGGGCGATCTTGGGAGCCTCTTGGGCCGTCTTGGGCTGTCGGAGAGCCGAAAAGGCGCAAGTGCCAAAATCCTTCAAAAACCTACGGAAAATTAATGATTTAGGCCCTTTCGGGCCTTCCTGGAGGACGTCTTGGAGGACTCTTGGGCCGTCTTGGAGGCCTCTTGCGGGCCTTTTGGGCCGTCGTAGACCATCTTGAGGCCATCTTGGGCCGTCTTGGGTGCATCTTGGGGCCATCTTAGACGTCTTTGAGGCCATCTTGGCTGTCTTGGAGGCATCTTGGAGGCCATCCTGGGCCATCTTGGCCGTCTTGAGGCCATCTTGGGCCAACTTGGGGCAACAAAGGCATTGACGGATAGATTTTCGGGAATCTCCCGGGACTCCGGCGGGACGAGCCGAAGCCCCAGGGGGAGTTTTTTTTTGGAAAAAAACCAAAAGCAAAAGCCATATCGTCTGGCACGCCAGGCACTCCTTTGATAAATCAAAAAGGGGGAGGCGGATCGAAGACGCCTACGGCGAATCACCGCCGCCCCCTGCCTTTGTGGAAGCGCCTATGTGGGCGAACGTTGAGGCCAGACCTGCCAAGCTATCGGACCATGTGTTCCCCGAATCGGTTTGGAAACCTTCGGGGAACACGTGGGCATCTTGAAGGTCATCTTGGCCGTCTGGAGGCCATTTGACTCTTTCTGGCCTTCTTGGAGGACGTCTTGGAGGGCTCTTGGACCGTCTTGGAGGCCATCTCGAGCGTCTTGGAGACCTCTTGGGCAGTCTTGGGGGCGATCTTTGGGGGCACTTGGGCCGTCTCGGGCCGTCGGAAGGCAGAAACAAAGCAAATGCCAAGTCCTTCAAAAACCAATGGGAAATCAATCTGTTTGGCCTTTTCGGGCCTTCCTGGAGACCCTCTTGGAGGCCTCTTGGGCCGTCTTGGGCCATCTTAGGGCCATGTTCGGCCGTCTTGGTGGGCTCCTGGTCCGTCTGACGCCGTCGGAAGCCGTTTGGGGGGCCTCTCTGGGCCGACTTAGGGGGCCCTCTTGGAATGCTCCAGGTCCGTCTTGGAGACCATCTTGGGCGTCTTAAAAGCCTCCTGTGCCGTCTTGGGGGCCTCTTGGGGCCGTCTTGGGGCCCTCTTGGGCCGTTCTGGGCCATCTTGGAGGCCTCTTGGGCGATCTTTCGGCGATCTTTGGGGGCTCTTGGGCCGTCTCGGGCCGTCGGAAGGCCGAACAAAGGAAATGTCTAATTGGGTCAAACACCTTAGGAAAATCAAGGTTGTTGGCCTCTTCTGGCCTTCCTGGAGGCCCTCTTGGGGGCCTCTTGGGCCGTCTTGGGTCAGCTTCGAGCAACTTCGGCCATCTTGGTGGGTTCCTGGCACGTCTGACGCCGTTTTGAGCCGTCTTGGGTGCCTTTCTGGGCCGACTGGGGGCCCTCTTGGGGCGCTTCGGGGCCGTCTTGGAGGCCATCTTGGGCGTCTTGAAGGCCTCCTGGGCCATCTTGGGGCCCTCTTGGGGCCGTCTTGGAGGCCACTTGGGCCGTCATGGGGCCCTCTTGGGGGCCTCTTCGGCGATCTTGGGGGCCTCTTGGGCCGTCTTGAGCCGTCGGAATGCAAAGAAGAAGCAAATTCCAAAATGCTTCAAAAACCATAGAACAATCAATGATTTCGGCCTCTTCGGGCCCTCCTGGAGGACCTCTTGGAGGCCTCTTGGGCCGTCTGGGAGGCCTCTGGGGGGCCTCTTGGGCCGTCTTGGGCCGTCTTGGGCCGTCTTGGACTCTCTTGGGCCGTCTTGGAGGCTGTCTTGGACCATCTTGGGCGGACTTGGAGGCCATCTTGGGCCATCTTCGCGATTTTTTGAGGATGTCCCGAGCGAAACGGCCGTTTCAAGCATTGACTGACGCAGTTTCCGGGTGGCCAGCGGGACGTGCCGGAGCCCCAGGGGGAGTTCTTTTGGAAAAAGAACCAAAACCAAAACCAGGGAGGGTTCAGCACGCCAGGCACCCTTGTGATGAATCGACAAGGGGCGGCGGATTTGGTAGCCTTCGGCTCATCCCGCCACCGTGTTTGGGTTGTTGGTCTGAGGCTTTTTGGAGGTTCGTTGGGATCTCGTTGGAAGCTTCTCGGGGACCTCTTGGAAACAGTTGTGAAGCCTCTTGGGGTCCGTTTGAGGGCCTCTTGAGGGCCTGATGGGAGCCTCTTGGGGCCTTTTGGGGACTTTTGGGAGCCCCTTGGGGCCTCTTGGGGGCCTCTTTGGGCTTCCGGGGGGCGTCCTGGGGCGGAAGATTCGAGCCGTCAGTTCATGTTTCTTTCTTGGGGCTGTCTTGGGGCCTCATGGTCCGTCTTGGGCGCCTCTTGAATCGTTTCCGGGCCCTCTTGGGCCGTCTTAGAACCCTCTTGAGGGCCTCTTGGGTTGTGTTGGGGCGGTCTTGGGAGCCTCTTGGGCCGTCTTGGAGCGTCGGAACACATGAAAAGCCAAGGGACATCTTCTTACCTCTTTGGGTCCTCTCGGGGGTCCTCTTGGAGCGTTTTTGAGGACTATTGTCATCAGTCTTTGGGTCATCTTGGGCATGTAGGAGCTCTCTTGGGGCGTCATGGCGGCCTTGGCGGCGTTGCCGCCCCTTCCCCTTCCCCCTTCCCCCGCCAAACCGCCCTCGCGCCCTTCCTTCGGCGCGGGAGCGGCCCCGCAAATTGAAGACCCCCTCCTCCCCCCCCCTGCTCCAGCAGAGCCAACCCAGCCCCCCCCCCCCCTCGCAGGGTTGCAGCTCAGGCTGTAGCTAGATTTGTTTTAACCTCACGCGCCGCATCGGCGGACCCAGACACCCGGCCGCTCCAATGTTTTCAGTGCGTGGGCCCCGTAGATTTGGGCCACTTCCCCAGGCTTAGGTCGGGCCTGTCCCTCTGCAGGAGGGATATTCAAACATAGTCAAAATATAGTCTGGGGGCGATTGTTTACTTTTTTTGACCATTTTGGAGTACTTCTTGAATATTTGTTATTTTCCGTCCAAAGTCCGCCTGTAGGGGGACATGCCCGACCTAACCCTAGGCCGGTTTTTCGCCCTGAGTTGTATTTTGACGGTCCTGAGGCCCGGCGAGGGCCCCTGGAGGTCGAAAACTGGCGAGATCCCGCTGTTCCAACTTTTCGGAGCGTCGGGTCCCTGGGGATTCTGCAGTTTTGATCACGTGCCCTGCAGCGGTGCGCCCGCGTGCGGCGCGGCCGCAGTCTGGCGAGAAGGGTGTCTTCCGCTGGGTCGAGTGCGTGCTGAAGCACGTCGCCGACGTGGGCATCATCGGGGCTCTGTCCCGGCCGCCGCCGCCGCCTGCGCCTCGGCGTCGGTGGGGGTCTACGAGTGCACGAGCGAGTAGAAGTTCGGAGGAGGAAAAGGTACCGATGCCCCAACCTTTCATCGCTTTGGCATTTTTGGGCCTTCTGGGAGGCTCTCGTTGTCACGGCTGGATTCGTCTCGAAATTCGGAATTCTGATCAGAACGCACCCCGTAACAGGACCAGGGAGTAGCAGCATCGGTATTTTCATGTTGTCTTTCCAGGAGGAGGAAGGGAGGAAAGAGGAGGAGGTGCAGGAGGAGGGAGGAGGTTTCAGCAAGCTTAACGCCTAGCCGTCGCCGTGTGCGACCGCGCTAGACTGTACAACAGGTCAGGCGCTAGGCCGCCCCTCGGCCAGCGCGCACGGGCAGGCTGCGCGCCCCACGCGCGAATGCCCTCACTTAGCTGCTGCGCCCTGCCGCCGCGGCTGGCGCAAGGTCCCGCGAGCCCCACGCGTCCCACTCGGCCTCCGTCAGGGGAGCGGGCCGACCAATGGGCGGGTCGGTCGTGCGGGCCTTGGGGGCGCGCCCTGTTTTCAGGGTGGCGAGCTACCATAGCTGCGTCGGCTGGCTTGAGCACTTCTGCCGCAGCTTTGCCAGGCGGCGCACTGCGTGGCGCCCGCACCTGCGGCACCAGACCACACCCGCGGTACGCCACGGGTGATGGCCCTGGCTGGTGGCCCGTGCGGTGGCCAGCTGCACAGGGAGCCGCGCCGCCGCGTGACCGGCGCAGCGCTCGTCAAGGAGCGCCCGCGCCGCCACAGATCGCTTGCCGCACCTCTCGCACTCCCAGCCTCAACCTCGTCGGCGGGCTGGGGCGTGCGCCTCCACTGCCCCTGGGACCAGCTGCGGCTGCGGGGGTCGAGGGGCGGCGGGTCCAGCCGCCTCCCCGACGTCTGGCCAGCCGCCGTCCGCCTCGTAGACCCTCTCGGTGAGCTCGGCGGCGAAATTCAAGAACTCCACCCTCTCGGCCTCCTCCCGGCAGGCGCTCTGGACAAACTCGAGGAAGCCGTTGGCGCCCTCCTCGGCGCCCTGCCTGGCCCGCTCGTCGGCCGCAGCACTGGCGCGAGCAAGGAGCAGCAGCTCGCGGCCGTCCAGAGCGGCCGCGGCCGCTGCTGACCTGTGGGCCTTCGTCCTGCGGAACTGGGCGCCGTTCTGGCCCATGCCGAGGTCGTCGATCCTGCGCCACATGCTCCGCCAGAGGTCTGCGTCCGGTCTGGCCGCGCACGCGCACCAAGCTGGGCCCGCAGCAATCCCGTCAAGAATGCTCTGTCGGTCTGTGTGGAGCGTGCTCGGCGGCAGCGCGTGCGCCAGGGCGCGCTCCACCGCCTGCAGCTCCGCCCTCGCAATCGTGCGCTGCACGGGGAGGGAAATTGGCAGGGGGCCCCGCACTGCTGCCGCGGTCTCCATGGAGTCTGGGTCCAGCATCGCCATTGCCCGACCTGCTCGCCCGAGCCATCGCCACTGCCCGCCCTTGAGGCTGCCGCCGGTGCCCACGTCCCCAGTCACCCATGCGTCGCCGCTGGGGTACTCCCAGCTCTCGAGTAAGTCCTGCGGCTCAAAGTGGCACCGCAGCCCAGGGTGGGCAGGGAGCCCACGCTCCCAAAGCCAACGATTTGGGCTCGCCGCGCTGGCATGCTGCCATCGTGGAGAGGGAGCTGCAAGCGGTGCTCGCGGAAGGCTGGACAGCTGCCGAGGCGGTGCTGCGCCGTGCCGCGCGCCTGTATACCGCGAGCCGCACGGGCGCGGCACCATGGCGTCGCCGTGGCGCCGGCCTCGTGCGCCCGGTGCCGCGTCCAAGGCCCCGCTGCCACCGCCCCTGCGCCGCTGCGGAGGCGCCGCCGCTCCACCAGCGCAGGTGCCGCGTGAACCACGTGCGCAGCGGGTCGATGAACGGGGCAGGCTGGAGCGGCGCTCGGGCCGGATCGGCGGCGATCCACGCCGTCCACAAGACGGCCTTGCTGTCCTTAACGCCATGGCCCTGGCGTCAGCGGGACAGCACCGCCGAAGGTTCAGCACGTGCCCGCCCCGCGTCACGAAGATGTGCCACGCCAGCCAGGACCATCCCAGCCGTCTCATGACCAAAATGCACGTCGACTCAGGCCCCGCGACTTGGCTCCAAGATTCCTCGCCCATGAACCGTACCTGTTGGCGGCGCCAGGCCACCGCCAGCTTGCTTTCCGGCGTCGTGCCATCCCACGCCTGCTCGGCCCAGGCCCAGGCCGCCAGTGCGGCGGCATCGCACTCAAGCTACGGCTCCTGGTTGAAGATCGCCAGGCGCAGCGTAGTGGACCGGTGCTGATGGCGGCCAGGGAGGCTGGCATTGAGGGCCGCCCGCAGCGCCTGTACCTCCACGGGCTTCAGGCCCAAGGCGCGGTAGCCGTACGTCACGGAGGGCTTCAAGCCCGCCTTGGTCCCCTTGTGCACCTTCCCGCCCCAGCGTTTCGCTCCAGGCACCGAGCGCCCTGCGCTCGGCCATGGGCGCAGAGCCTTCCTTGCGCACTGCCATCGGCGGAGGCCGACGGCCAGGGGTCTGGCTGCGCCTGTCGATGCCCAGCTGATTGGCCGTCCGCTGCAGGCGCGCGCCGAACCTGGCCATGCTGCGCCCGAGCTTCCTGGACAGCCACTGGGACGTAGCAAGACACTTGCCCTTCCCTTTGGCGCCTGGCAAGGTGGGGCTAGCCTCAATCTGGAGCTCATCCCACAGGTGGGCGATCAACCAGCTCGCAGACTCGCGCGTGGCCGCCTCCACGTTGCGCGCCACGCCATAGCAGGCCGGCCCCTATGTCGCCGACGTACTTGGCCGAGCTCACCTCGTTTCACCGTTCCCGCAGCAAGTCGCAAGGCTGCAGAAGGACCAGTTGCAGGACGGCCAACGCGAAGCGGTTGCCTGGCACGATGGCGGACACCACGGCGACGCACTCGCTATGACAGCCGTCCACCAGGAGCGTCCTGGCGAGCGAGTAGCTGGCGAGGACCAGGCGGAGCACGCGCGGGGGAAAACCCCCGCGTTGACCCCACCGCCACACGTGCCTGGGCTGGACTTTATCGAAGCACTTCACCAAGTCCAGCAAGACCGTGGCCGCGGCCTGGCCGTCGGGACCCTCCCCCAACGCCAGGCCCTCCTCCTCAACTAGGTGCCGCCACACCGCCTTCTCGGAGGAACCGCCTCGGCGAGCCCAATCATGGTCGCGCTCCACTGCGCGCAACCACGCCTGCACGAGCAGAAATCGGACGGCCTCCCAGAGGCGCACGAGCATGGGCATCTTCGCGATCGGCCGCTTGCCTGTCTCGGGCTTGGGGATGAGGAGGTAGACGAGCAGGGACACCTGGCTCGGCCGCGTGAGGGAGGCTTCCACCTTGTGCAGGAGCGTCACCATGTCCTCATGGCAGCCCTGGCTGCACTGCACCAAGGCGCGGGCTTTCCAGCGTTCGACGCCCAGCCCCGTCTTCGCCTTGAATGTTCCCGCGGCACTCAGCACGTTCGCCTGCCAGACCGTGGACCACGCGTCCAGCTCCGCGGCACAGACAGCCTGAGGAGAGCGCAGCTCGCAAGAGTGGACGAGTAAGTCTGTGCAATGCTCCCGCGATCCCGGCAGAGGCATCCGCATGCCTCTGCAGCACGCCAGCGAGCACGGCAGCAGCATCGGCACGCGCCGACTTCTCGGCGTCGGCGTCCAACAAAGACCGACTGCGGGCCAGCGAACTCCACGCCGCACGCCCGGCCAAGGAATGGGCAGGCGGCTGGGGCCCAGACCCAGTCAGCATGGCCGCGGCGATGGTTCGGCAGTAGGCGGCCCACGCCTCCATTTGCAGCCGCCACACTTCGAGGACGCGGCTGACCTCCAAGTCCGCCTGCACCCACCGTGCCCTCCTCGCGATCATGCAGCAGGTCAGCCATCCGCTGCCGCCGTTGCGAGTGGTCGCCCATGGAATCAACAGCAACTCCCACGTACCATAGTTCTGCTACCATGGTGCTGAGCGCTCGCAGATGGTGAGTCGCCCTGTACTGCCTGGCCGCACGCTGCCGGACCCCTCGCACGGGCCTCACTTTCGCATTTCCAGCGGCTGGCCCCGCCCCTCGTAGCGTCTCGCAGCGATGCCCACTAGATCACTAGATCGTGTAGCCCCAAGATTTGCTGCTCGACTTGGCCTACCACCGCCGCGTAGGCCTCGTCGACCTCCAGCTGGCTCCGTCTTGGGACGATCTTTGGGGCCTCTGGGCCGTCTTGGGCCCGTCTGGGGAAGAAACGGGCCATGGGAGCCGCCCAGGAGCCGCTTCACTCGAACAAATACGAGGGAAACGGGCTATTAGACCAGGCGTCTGCGCCTCGCACCCCCCCTGGACCCCCCCATTAAGGGCTTCGCCCCCACGCCCAGCACCTGCTCCTTCACCGAGGAGCTCGCCATGAAGTACTCGATCGTGGTCCGCGTTTCGCCGGAGCGACACGTGCCAGCGCTCGGCGCAACGAGGCGGGCCCGCAGAGGCTGCATAACTGAGCAGGCGGCAAACTCCACTGGGTCCATGTTGGCATCCAGAGCCAAGATCCACGGGATGCCGGGAGCCTGCAGTGCATCTGCCCTCTCGGCGAACGCGTGCGCCAGCAACATGCTCTGGACGCCCCAGCCCACGGAGTCGACAACGTACGCCGCCATGACGACGACTCCAGACTTAACTCGGGCCGGTCCCTCTACGGGAGGAGTACTCAAACATGGTGGAAAAATAGTATTTATTCAAACAAGCAAACCTGTTTGAGATTTTTTTGAAATTCGCCCAAAATCCCCCAGTAGGGGGACAGGCCCGACCTAACCCCAGACCGCAGGTTGAGCCACCTCGCCGCGAGACGGCCCCAGCCGGCAACCCAGGAGGAGGGGAGGTGCCTTCGACCTTCCCCTTGGGCCGCCGCCTCGGATCGGGCGTGGGAGCGCACGGCTGCACGAGCACGCCCGCGGAGACGAAGAACCGCTTCTC